AGGGACCTGAAGGTGCGTTTCGACCAACACACATTGAAGGCCTACTTGGGGTTTGATGATGTTGAGCCTACACAGTATTTGGAGAAGTTGGCAGTGGGAGTTGCAGCTCCCCCATGGCTAGCTGAGATTCTAGCAGCTCCTGGTCCACCACTACCATGGATTACTGCAGGGGTGTCTATTCACAGAAACACCCTGAATTTGAGGTAAAAGGGTGGCAGACCTTTGTATGTAGTCGACTCGACCCGTGTCAGAATGAGACAAATCTTCCTATCCATCGGGCAGTTATAGTCGCCTCCATCATGGCCGGGTACCTGATCAATATGGGTGTTGTGATGTTGGCCAACATATCTGTAGTCGCCAGGCAAGCTGATACCTCCTACCTGTATCCCAACATCATTACTGAGTATCTTACAGATGCACGGGTGGAGCCGAGAGATTTTGATACGAAGGTGCGGGTGAAGAAGACCTTCTCATGGTATTCGTTGATGGATGCACACAACCCTAAGAAAAAGGGTCAGTCGACTACCACCTATGGCTACCACCATAGGCCAGTCTGATGAGCCATAGGTGGTAGCTGCAGAGATAGTCGACATGCCATCTACATCAGTAGAGCCTTCAGCCAGTGCAGCAGCTATGCCCCCACCTTCAGCCTCAGTGCGTCCATCAGCCCACTTCGGCCTTGAAGCCGGTGCCGATGCCCACTGCTCCACAATCTATGCTGCGAGTCTCCCAGATACTGGCAAGCCTCAACAACTGGATGCAGATTGCTACTGCAAAGCTGTCTGACATAACCAGTCATGTTGCATCACAGTCTTTCATTCCGGCACCCCATATTCCCCCCATAGTTGAAGAAACTCTGAAGAAGCTCTTAGAGAATCAGAACACAATCATGGCCACTTTGGTGCAACATGGGTCACTGATAGAAGAGATGGGCAAGGAAGTGAAGAAGATGCGGAAGTCCTAGGCCTCCAAGAAGTCAGTGGACAAGCTCCGGAGACAGGTTATCAAGTTTGCAGCAGCCGGAGACATTCCATTTGATATGTTGATTGACCAGCACCATCCAGGCCCAGATCCTACAACACATACAGCACCAGCTGGCCAGTCTGAGGAGCCAACCATTGGTGCTGACACTGCCGAGGCAGTACGTCATATGTTCACCAACCCTGTCACGCCCGGAGTTGTTACTGGGTGCCATATTGTTGTTCTCGTCGTGGTGACCAGACTCATCATCTACGTTTAGAGGTGCAGGTTGGGAGTTCGATATTTTGAACTTTGACCTGAAATTATAGACATTTCAAAGAACAAGTGTAAAATAGGGTGCGTTATGGAAATTTATATCAAATTGCCACTATTATCCTTAGCCCCACGGTGGGCGCCAAACTGTTTACCCTATAAAACGGATAACATTTAAATTTGTAAGTGGTTTTAAGGATACGTGGATTTATTCAATACAAACGATAAAAATTGCTAGAATAAACAGATAAAATATGTTATAGATTATCAAACCGCTTGAAAATAAGGGGGGAGGGGGTGATTCTGGACTCGATGGCAGCCTCAATGAGGTATCCGTCTTCAATCTCGGGCTTATAATAATGAAACACTGATCAATAAATGTAAGAGCTTTGAATAACAGAAAAGGTAATAGTATATTGACTTGGTATGCGTGTTACAATGTGTTTAATAAATAATCAGACCCCCTTTATAGTAGGGGACTCCTACTATAGGTACAATTCCATAAAAGGTAAAATATCTTCCGTTTAACTAATCACCGGATTTTCGCCCGTACGTGCTGAGATCCACGCCGCGATACCCGGCCGGTCACGGATATCACGGCCTCCTGTTAATCATATTCGGTTGCCCGATAATACTCTCTAAAGTCTTTTAAGAGTTGGATCGATACCGGTGTCACGGTCCCGATATTCTCGAGGGCGGACGTCGTGCTTCCGGAACCTGTCAATGAGTCCCTTACCTCGATTCAGGTTCCTTGTCATCACGTCCTTTACTCGATTTATTTTTTCGAAAACCGAGCCGTCTTATGGTCCGGGTTTCACCCGTATACAGTCTCATACACAACTAAAATGTTAGCAAAGGGATTGTGCCAAATTATCCAATAAGTGAATCGACAAGAGGATTATTGATTAATAATTTGATGATAATTATAACTATAACTAGAAAAAAAGAGGAGAGTTTTGTAGAAAATAGAGCTCTTTTTTTTTTTTTTTNGTCAAGTCTTTTTCATGACAGCCTGGTCTTGTCTATCATCATTGGAATTTTCCTATCAAACAAATTCATATAATGCATACTTTGCCATTCACAGACTCAAACACCCTACATTTTGATTTTATGCCCCACAATTTCTTTTTTTAGTTTATGAGTAATTTTGAGGAATTTATTTTTGTAGTTTCTCAACTATTGGGAGCCAAAAAAAAAGAAGAAAGAAAAATATTTCGGGAGCTAATGCTCTTACTGTATTAAGGTTTTTTTTCTTGTAACAATATTTCAGTAATTAAAAGTGAATGTATAATTAATTTTACCTATTGTCATTAAACTTTACTTAATATAACAGTAAAACCACAAAGATATTTTTATCATATTAAAGTAATGAACTTTGCCTATTATAAAAACAAAGTCAAAAAATCATATTTTGTCAACTCTAACTAATATAATAATAGACTCAATTGGAGAGTTTCACAAAATGTTTCTTCTCATTTTCGCAGAACAGTTATTTTCGTGAAATTGAAGAAAAATAAATTCGTAAGAAAAATATTGTTTTAAATATTTAAGCCAACCAAATATATTGAAAAAAAAAACTTAAGAATATCCTCCTCCATAGAAGACACCGTAAGTACAGTCTCTTTTATAACGAAAGCTGACACCGTAAGTACAGTAAAGCGAGATGGATATAGAGTATTTTCTTGCGGATTTCAGATAAAAGTATTTTTCTTGTTTTTAAGGAGTTTAAGAAATCCAGAAAGTAGGACAAAGTACATATGATAGGTGAGAAGGTTCCAGCAAATTCACGTGAAATATTTTGATATGTATATGGCTTCTGAGGAGTCAAGATTCTAAAATCCAGTGCGATTTTCATGTGGCTCTTCTTTCATTAATATATATATATATGTGACCACATATGACCACATTCCTATTATACTCTTCTGATCTTCTCTTTATTAGTGCCTTTGTAAATTCTCTGACTTTTTACTATATCTCTCGTCCAGTATTTGGTATCAAATGTATCGCGTAAGGATAAAAGGGAAATACTTTCTGCTAGAATAAAGATAGTGTGTGTTACCGAACATCGGTTATACGTTTCCCCAATTGACCGAGTAGATACTTCATATACGAACATCTACCTCTCAATTTTTTGTTCTAGTTCGATCAACTTGTAGAGTTGTAGTTAGATAATCGCTATTACTAATTAATCTTAAGTAAGAAGAGTTTGTGTTAGATGTTCTTTATTTTTTTAAAAAGAAAAAAATCCAACAACTCGATCTTTTGCCTCTCGTGGTGACGAGGGGTTGACATTAAACACAATCTTACTACGGACTAATATCTCTAAAGGAATAATACAAGTAAGGGGAACGAGAAATTGCCTTACTAATCCTAATGAGAGTTGAATAAGCCCTACCATTTAGAGATGTTCTTTGCCTTTTCTATCAATTTTTAGTATTTTAAAAATAAGAATTAGACCTTTCCTTTTCCTAAAGAGATTTTCTAATTTTGAGGATAGCGAACAACATTTTGGAAGTTGTTAAAGGGACATGGTAATCGGTACACCAGTCAACTGTCCCCCTTTTGAAAAATCTCAAAGATGGTATTTTCTTTGTTATGAAGTTTCCGTTCTCCAGTCAAAATTTCATTTTTTTCTCTTTATTTTACTTCTGTTACTTTTACTTTTTGGAAACATTTTCTAAAGCATATGTTCAATGTCATGATTTCCTCATGTAAATAGTCCACAATATACAAAGGTTGAAAAGGATTTTACTTGCTAGATCTTCTATGTCATAAAAGCAACTCCTTCCTCCAATATCTCATCTTTTGGGGGGATTGACCAACAAAAGTTATTCTTTGTTGGATGGATATTGGATATTAAAATGTCCCCAAAACAAAACAAAAAAAAAACAATTTTTCAATTGATAGAATTATGACAAGCTTATCTAAGTTATAATTTCTTATAATTCCTTTCATTCACTAGTAAACAAATGTCTCAAGTTTCTGAGTCAACCCGCGCTTTTTTAGAATTTTGTGCCTATGGGCATACGGCTTTGCAGGTCTTCCCTTTCCACCGGAGCTTCACGTATGTAGCCTTGTTCTCCGATTAGATGTTTGAACGTGAGCTATAATTCGCGAGGAGCCAAAAGGGCGTATGGCCTTGCCTTGCCATTTGACTTCTTTTTTCGTGCGACTAAGGAATTTTCTGTGACAATTATTAAATAATAAATGATATTACCAGAGAATAGCTGAGGATGTAAGATAATTTATTACTATTACTTACCACTTCATGTTCTTTTTTTCTTTTTTGGTTTAAACTTTAATGTAAAGCATTCTCAGAAAAGCTTCTTCTTTGGTTTTCTCTTCTTTTGCTAGTGTGTGAAAATGGACATGTACGTGTCTAACAGGCAAGTTTTTACAAGGCGACAAAGTTCACAGAATGCCACGCCACAGAACCAGTAAAGAAGATTACCCAATATAACAAAAGGGGCAATTATTTAAAGTAATCAAATGACTATATAACAAAAAGGGAAAGATTTAAAATAATTAAATGACCATATCAACACCTTTTTCCACCAATAATTTTCCCACATATACTAAAGTTAAAGAATTCTACCTTTTTTCTACAGTGGTACCAAAAGCCAATAATAAACAAAAGGATTATCACTTAGAATTGGAAGAGATAATATCAGAATATAGCACTAAATCACGCTTACCACCGTCCAAATAATTTATTAAAAAGGAATCTAACAATCTGCTCTGCATTTTTAAACGCTTAATCGAATATATAGATAGCAATCATTTAATTTCCAAACTAGTTGCCGTGAATTATTCACGTACATTTCATTTGTTCTTACAGCTAACACTTACCCTTAATTACATTACTATACAAGTACCCTTAATTACATTACTATACAAGTCTCTAACTAAGCTAAAATAGCAAACTATGGACATTAGGAATAAGGATAGCAAATGGACAAAGTTACCTTCTTAATTATTACTCTGTAAAGACAATAACAACCTCAAACATCTGTCCTTTATTTCTGTAAAAACTTTCCCTCCTTTAATGGAGCAACGGCCATATCTTTGTCTGTAGCATATCTTTCAGAAGAAAAAAAAGAGGGGCCCCTAAAGCCTCAGAAGTTGGCAACAATCACGAGCAAAGAATACAGAAAAAGCCACTCTAACACCACTTCTTCTCCTTATCTGTAGTAAATAGTATTTGCTCCTTGTTCTTATTCTTCTTCTTCATGAGGCCAAAATGTCACATAATTCAATGGCTGCTGCATCTTCTTCGTCTGCTGTTGCTACCCCTCCTCCTGTCTTTTCATATGACGACGATAAACTAGACCTTGAATCAGTCTGTGCATTCGTCGCTGTTATCAATCAACATATAACTGAATTTCTTGAAGATACAAAATCTCGGAAATGCTTGAAATTGAAATGCAGTTCAAAGCTTGATGTTTGTAATAGAGGGTACCTTGAATTCTCCGAGCAATCAATATTGTCGAATCTTTATTGGGGGATAGAGAGTATAGAAGCAGCAATTCAAGCAAAATGGACCGCAGAGAAAACATCAAGGCTGCAGAATTCAGAGAACATGCTTCAAGTTCCAGCTTCACTTGATGAGCAAGGAGAAACAGCAGGAATTCCGAACAACTATTTGATAGGCTATTCTTACTTTTACCTCTCCCTTGTTAGAAAGCTCCAAGGAGATGAGTGGCAGGTCGCGATGCATTTTCTTCAAGCTCTTGTAGTATCCCCGAGGCTTCTTTACACTGAAATTGCTACGGACCTCTGCCAACGTTTGTTTATCTTAAGCTTTGAGCATGAATCGAAAGAATTTAAATCCGCATCTTTTATCAATCTTGATGAGAATGTTAAGATGGTAAAAATGGCGAGAAGATATAAAGCTTGGCTGATGTATTATCAGATTATGTCTTCTGGAGAGGGTTCTCTAAAGAATGATGAATTAGAACAGATAATGTAAGTTTCTTGGACTATGTTTTAGATAGGCAGAATATATATTGAAGTAGAAAGTTGCTTTGCATATAGAATCACGCTTTTCGTAATTTCAATATGCTCATTCTCATCCAAATTTATTTCTGATTAACAGGAGTAAGAAGTCCAGAAGCACAAGATCCTCAAATTTATGTAAGCATGGAAACGACCGGTGCACCTGTCAAAATGTAAGTATAACTGATCCTCTTGGATAATACAAAATACAAACTAAGTCTGAGCACCTCTTGGGTAATGATGAAATGTACAGGTCCTAAACTCAAAACTCGCATTATTTACTCACCCTTCTCTAAGTTTAGTCAGGGGAAGTTCCTAATTCTCCTGATTATTGTCAGTTTGTATGACTTTTAAATTAATAGAGCACAAATGCAGTTTGAGAAGGTGCATCCATTTAATGCCCAAAATGATGCCAATAATGAGGAAGAAAAGATGATTATCAAATCCAACGAGTCCGTAGAGCAAAATCAGGTAGCTATTACCGAATTAAGGAGTGGTGTAGCAGAAATACCCAAGAACTCAACCACCAAATGCCTCAAAGATATATTGCTTGATTCTGAGCCAGAGACACCAATCTACGTAGATTTCAGCGACAGCGGTTCTGCAAATGAAAATAGTCATGAGGTAATATCTTGGCAAAGACAGCCATGAATAGAGGTTTGAAAAGAATAGCCCTTTGCAAACTAAACAATTGTACAAGCATGCACTCACATAAGCATAAAGTCTCATCTTTTTCTTTCTGATTTAGGAATACGCAGAAGACCTGGAAATCACTTCAAACTGGAGCCTAGAAAATCAGCACACAGAGGCTTTTTATCAGTTCAGTCCCTACTCGCCTGTTTTAAACTTTAGCCTGATACCTGAGTAGGTCTGATATTCATTAACTCAACTGACTAAAATACAGGAACCAGCAATCTTCTCGCTCCTCGTTTTTGGAAAGCTTGGTTTGTAAATCCCAAGTTTCTGGATTAAGGCACAAAGAAGAAAGCCAAGTAGAAATAACTAACTCACTCTCCAGAAGAGTCTCCGGTTCATTTACTCATACTGATTTATCAGCAAAAGGAATTAGAAGCCTCAAAACTAACATAAATTTGAGTGGTAATAATGAAGCTGCAACTATGCAACAGTGCTTACAGATGATTGATAGTAGATCCGATGGATATCCAGTGTCCATGTCTTTACATGATTATCAGCTCTGCAAAACACAGTACCCAAGGATTTCTTCACGGCAAAAGAACAGGTGCAAGAAGACCTTAAATGAAATATCTGAATATGCTGAAGAAAATTCTCAAGCAGAACAAGCAGCAATACTTGAGAAAATAATTTCGAAGTTATGTTTCTCAGAAGAGTTTGGGGATTATAAAGACTATACAGTTGATCTTACAACAATATATGAGTTACTGAATAACAAAACAGGACTTAAGTATTCTTTGCTAAAGGACATAATCATTGATCAACTTCTAAGGGCTATATCAACATCCAGAGAAGAACATGTGATACGGGAATCGGTATCAGTCCTATCAATTATTATTTCAAGGAACAGATCACTTGTTGAAGATGTCAAGAGGAAAGGGTTACAGTTGAATCATTTGGCAACTGCTCTTAAGAAAAATGTTCATGAAGCAGCTATACTAATATACTTAATAAACCCATCTCCTGCAGAAATCAGGACATTAGAACTTTTACCATGTCTTGTGGATGTGGTGTGTGCTTCAAACAGTTACAAATGTAGCCTAACAACACTGTGGATAACACCTCCTGCAGCGTCATTGATGATTATGGAAGCACTAGTCACTGCATTTGACTATACATCGAGCGACACACAATTAGCTGTGATCAGCTCACCCAGAGTACTCTCCGGGCTCTTGGATGTCTCAAGGAACAACAACCTTGAAGAGATTATTGCTCTGGCTGCTGTTCTTATCAGATGTATGCAATTCGATGGTCAATGCAGAAAACACATAAACCATTACGCTCCTGTGGCCCCATTTATCTCTCTTTTAAGAAGCAACCATAAGCGTGCAACATCAATTGCATTGGAGTTTTTTCATGAACTGCTACAAATTCCAAGGTATGGAACTATCTAACTATTCACCATTTCTTTATCATCTGCTGTGGAAGGGAATGACCTAGATATTTATCAAGATAAGGACTCCCAAGAATATGAAAACTGGAAGGTTATCATCAGCATAGGACTGGTGATAATGGCAATGCAATATGCAAACTAAGACTTTGTTCTTAGAAGCAAATCAGCGACACCTTTCCCGAGGTTTTCATTCACCATAATTTGTTATCTTGGGAATGAACTAGACTGAAAAAATTCGAACTACTCGAATTATTACCTCATCGAGAAGAGAAGAATGTATGCACTTTAGTTGAACAAAGTGACCATAAACAATATTTTCTTCCATATACAGCATACTTCCCAGAAGCTACTGTTCAGTTTACACTTTTAAAAATATGATCAAGAAGATTCCATAATTTAGTCAATCTGTTTTGCATCAGGTCATCAGCAACTGAGGTACTGCAGAAAATACAACAAGACGGAAGCAACAACAATATGTGTGCATTATTGCTCCTCGTCCAAAACTCACAACCAGAGTACAAAATTTTGGCAGCAAATTTGTTGCTTCAGTTAGACATGCTGGTAAGCATATTGAAGTGTTACCTTTCAACGTATCTGGAAAAAAATGTCAAACAATAAAAATGAGCAGGCTTGTGTAACTAAACACCTGCAATAGAACAGCATACGTTGAGCTTAGAATCTCCCAAACGTACAGGGATAGCAAGAAACTCATGATATTGGGCACTGAAGTACACAAAGAGAACAAAACAATAAAAAAGAAAAAGAAACGTACCTTTTATAGCTTAAGAAAATTAGCACGGAACACCACACAAAGCAGAAAACTTGGAAATGTTTATGTTTTCTTTCATTCTTTCTATAAACAGAAAGCGGAAATCTACCTATATCTGGTTTCCGGCTATGTTGCCCGGACTCTCCAAAACTGTTGCCGGCTGTGTGTCGGATCTTCCAAAAGCAGTGCAATTTTGGAGGATCCGACACGGGTGCGGCAGCATTTTGGAGAGTCCGTGCAACTTAGGTTTCCAGCCCTATGAAACTAATGTAATACCTATTCGTACATTTTATACATTTGCTTACAAACTAAAAGGAGTAACCATGAACTTTTGACGATGACAAATTTTCAGGAAGAAACATCTAGTAAATTTGTATACTGTGAAGAGGCTATGGAAGCCCTACTTGAGTCAGTGACATGTGAAGAGAATTCTGCGACACAGGCTCTATCAGCATTCATCCTATCCAATTTTGGCGGAACGTGCTCTTGGTCAGGAGAACCTTACACAATACCATGGTTGCTTAAAAAGGCTGGATTAACTTCACTGCAACATAAGAACATGATAAAGAATGTTGACTTCTCAGATCAATGTCTACAGGTATTTGTGCTTTAAATATTTAACCTGGTGCTACGTGAGATCATATAGATATTGATAAAAAAAATTCAGGTAGAAGAGCTAGGGATGATTTAGCACCTAAGATTTATCTCAACAGTCCTCAAACAACTATTCCATAGTATTTACATTTTCCTTTGGGGTCTCAGCTACATAACTATCCTACTCTCTTTGGGACACTGATCTCTAGCCTATTCTTATATATTTAGATTTCTATCATAGCATTGTGGATTTTTCTCATTTAGAGTGCTTCTTAGTTTTTGAGAGTTCTCAGAGAGTGGCATCAGAATCTATACGCTCCAGTTGCTGTTGTACAGTTTTTTGATAAGATTCTAAACTACAGTTGTACAGTTTTTTGATAAGGTTCTAAACTACAGTTGTACAGTTGATGTTTCTGAAGCTATGAACCCAAAGCAAATGTTCATTAACATGCAAAAACAAATATCTATATTGTACTATTTAATATTTAGAGGCACTAGGATCTACACTGACCAATTTGGCTACTATGTAAAGATTTCATGCTCAGCGGCACACAAGTTGTTTACCTGTTCTAAAGATTCCATAAACTTGCAGGATGTTGGCATAGAGACATGGTGCAGCAAAGTAGCAAAGCGCTTCTTAAAATTTGGAAGTCCTCTCTTCCATGCTTTAGAGAAAGGACTTAAGAGCAACTCGAGGAGCACTTCCCGAGACTGTCTTGCCGCTACTGCATGGATTGGGTCTGAAATCATGAAAGCCTCAGATGATTTGAGATATGCAGCCTGTGAGATCTTACTTAGTAGAATTGAGCAATTTGTGCATCCAGGATTGGAGCTTGAAGAGAGGCTATTAGGATGTCTTTGTATCTATTATTATACTTCTGGAAGAGGTAATACTCTAAAGTTCTACTCCTATACATTAATTTTAAATTGGAATATCCAAGAAATTCAATATTTTGCATGATAACAAGGAAACACTTTTAGCTGCTTTAACAATTAGAAGGTTGTTACATTGCTCACAGCCTCACAAACTGTCTGTGTAGAAGGGTACTATGGTTCAACTTTATCAGAAAGTTTGATTACAATAAAACAAGAAAACTGGTGAAAATTTAGTTCCTACTGCTTTTGCTGACAACCTAACAGCAAAGCTAGTAAAAAGGAAAGTCGAGCCTCCAATAGAGGAAAAAGATCTTGAATGGCAAAAGAGAGTGATTTTGTTTCATCAATTTCAGGAATCTCTATAGTGAATACTTACAGTTGCTAAACTGAAGAAACTTGTGATTGCTGGAGAATGAGTGTAGGCAGCATCTGTAGATGCAAAGAAGCTTTCATAATCAGTCAGGCTATCGTGATTTACATAACAAGCAAAACGAACTCATCTCTCTGAATCTTACCTGAGTAAATCATACACAAATTTATCTTCAATTTGATAGTCCCAAAATCACATGTTACTTTATGTTGGTTAGGCATAGGTTTTTCTGCTCGTACATCACCTATATGCTATGTTAACTTGCTTTCACATCAAGCATGTGCTTATGTCACCTTTATGCTATGTACACTTGCTTTCAATTCAAACATGTACCTGAAAAGGAAAACTCTTATAGGGATGAAAAAGTTAGTCAACTTCTCAGAAGGAGTTAGAGAGTCACTAAGACGTCTTTCCAGTATCAGTTGGATGGCAGAAGAATTGCTTAAGGTTGCTGACTATATCCAGCCAAACAAGTGGGTAAGTAGACATCATATTTCTTTCTTACACATCTGGTGACTGCATGTGATGTTAACAGCACAATCATGCAACCAAATGTTTGTACCAGTATGACTACCTTGGAATTCAAGTTACCCTACTACAATCATCACATCTAATACAAATGAACCTATTGAACTTCCTTAATAAACAGTATCTTCAATATAACCTATTTTCATCATTGTATTAACAGGCATCCAAGCGAGAACTATTACAAGCTCGGTAACCTTAACATTCTAAAATAAATTCCACTGTCAAAGAGATATATTTCCCTGCATAGGAAACCTACTTTTTGAATGTGTGTCTTGTTCACTAAAATGCAGAGCAAGGATAAAAGAGAACTGCAAAGATGCATAAAAGGCATCAGCAAAGTAAAAATCCATGTGAAAGATGTATCACCTCTGGCAATTTTTGCTCTAGCATCAGGCCCATTTCATCCCAGTACTATGTTACCATGATACAATTCCTTCATTCTAACTCAAGCTTCTCTTTGCAAATGTAATAGCAGAGAATATCTTGTGTTCACACACAGATTCTCGAGGTGGGAAGCAACCATAGCGGAGCAGTAACTTCGCTCATCTTCTATAATGGACAGCTTTACAGTGGACATGCTGATGGCTCAATCAAGGTTAGCAGCTATTTTTATGTGCTACATACTTCTCGGCTCCAAATTTATGGTTCACGTTAACAAAGGAAGCATGTGACCTCTAGATAAGTTAAATTCCAAAACAATGTGTGTGTGGATATGTGTAGGTAAGATGGTCATTTTGTTACCTAGATCTGGTGGGATTTGGGGGGG